ATTCTATCTTTTTACTAGAATAATATTACTTTTTATTAAAAATAAATAGGGTAGAAATAGTATGTTGCTATAGTGTGGCTAGAGGGATTATAGATTCTATTTAGAATAGGGGCAGATACTTATATATCTATACTAGTATTAATGTTATATAATATATTATTAACCTTAGTATGCTTTGCGCATGCCTATGTATAGCTTACACATGCTCTGTATGTAGTCCTTAAATAGGTCCTGAATACACTTCTTAATACTCCCTTTATAGAGAGATCTATTTGAGTATCTAGTTCTATTAGTGATAACTGACCTAAACGTAATTCTTAGAATTCTCTTTATACTAGTACTAAGTATAGCTTAATACTCTATTACTATAAAGATTTATTTTATTGTCTAGCTTTATAATAGTAACTATTTAATCCTCTTATTTATTAGCTTTATTAGTTACTAACATGCTCTATTAGACTAGGGTTTATTAATTATAATAAGTATATAAATAATATACTAGGTTAATATAATTAATTTGGCTAGATATATATAGTTAAATCTATAAGCAAATTTAGGTCTTGCCTAATTAAGGCTAGTATATAATTTTCTATATTATTAGTATTAGAAATACTCTTTTTCTTATTAATTATTTATTAGTAGTTATAAGCTTATAATAATTATTATAAAGGCTTACTTATTAATAGTTATTTACTTGTAATAATTATATTATATAAACTAAGATTATTAATTAAATATAGTATGTTTTAAACTATTTAATATCTTATTATTTACTTTTATTTATAAAAGAAAAGTAATATTATTAGTAATAACATTTACTTCTTTATAAATTACTTTCTCTTCCTTTTATCTTAATTATAATAGCAAACTATAGTCTGCTCCTCTATAAGTGTCTCCTTCTAAATAGTGGCAGCTCTCTACTCCCTTGTAAGGATCTTCCTCTCTTACACAGTGGCAGCACTCTGCTCCTCTGTAAGGGTCTTCCTCTCCTGCACAGTAGCAGCACTCTGCTCCCTTGTAAGGGTCTTTCTCTCCTGCACGGTAGCAGCACTCTGCTCCCCTGTAAGGGTCTTCCTCTCTTGTACGGTAGCAGCAATCTACTCCCCTGTAAGGCTCTTCCTTTCCTGCATAGTGACAGCACTCTGCTCCTCTGTAAGGGTCTTTCTCTCCTGTCTTCTTTTATAGTAATAGTACTCTGTTTTCATGTAATAGACTCCTTTCTAATATTCTTATTCTTCTTCTTTAGACTTAGTAAAAGTATCTAAGAAGACTATCTATTAATAAAGAGCACTAAACTAAAGAATAAACTAAACTATATTAATAATTAGCTTTACTTATTATATAAAGGTCTTATAATTCTTATAAAAAGTAGTTATATACTTTTAAAGCGTAAAATATTAATAAATTTACTTATATTTTTTTAGACTTAAAAATGCGCCTAGATAATCTGACTTGCTTTAATATTCTTTATATTTAAATAGCTTATAATATTTTATATAACGTGGTTCATAAGCAGCCCGCTCATACAAGCAACCCGCCCACTTTGTTTTTATACCACAACTTTATAATTATTATACACTACTATAATACAAAAAAATTAATTATTTTTTATATATTTATGTTCTTTAGACATTTTTTTAGCCTTTTAACTAATTTATATAATATAATTAATTTTATTACTTTTTTTATAACGTATTAAGTCTAATGACTTAGTTTTTATAACACTTTTTTTTTAATCTTTTACTTAATTATTATTATATAGTCTTTTTTTATTTAATTAAATTATTCAGATTCTTTAAAATAAAAATACTTTTAACTTATAGATATGTTTTTTTAGTTCTTTAATACTTTATAAGAATTTTATTAGCCTTAAAAAGAGTGATTTAAGGCATATTCTATGTTTTTATAATATTTCAAATTAATATTTCTTGGCTTATATAAATAACTCTAACTCTAGAAAGAATTCTATCATATTAGGATTAAAGTTTATTATATTATTATATTTTAATTTTAGCTAATAGTTAAAAGATTATTATTTTAATAAAAAGTGGGCGGGTTGCTTGTATGGGCGGGCTGCTTGTGAACCACGTTAACTTATAAAGTTATTTAATTTAATTAATATTAAAAGATAGATCTTAATATACGTTATTTAAGATTATTAATTAAGAGTAACATATTATTTATATGTTATTTAAATATTAATTACTAGAGGATAGAAAAGTATTAATCTAGCAAAAGGAGTTCTTAATTAATAACAGGTTCAAGCTAGTTCGATTCAATTAAGTTGAAAGGCAACTTCTTAAGAGGTAAAGTCAATCAAATATAGTTAATTAGGGCGGACTGATTAATTTCTTCGCCGCAGAAGCTCTATATTTTATATAACGCTTAAGTTATCACGCCCTAGAAGTCACGGGCTCATTATACCCGGAATCTCTCTATATACTACTGTAACCGGGCTTATAACCTGTTAGAAATAGACAGGGCAGAAGCAGTATGTTGCTATGGCGTGGCCAGAGAGATTGTAGATTCTATCTAGAATAGGGGCAGATACTTATGTATCTGCACTAGCATTGATGTCATGTAATATATCACATGACCTTGGCGTGCCCTGCGCATGTCTGCGTACGGCCTACGCATGCTCTGTGTATGGCCCTCGAATAGGTCCCGAATGTACTTCTCAACACTTTTTACTAAAAGATAAGACTAGTTTTAAGGCCTAAGTATAAGTTAGGTAATAAAGAGTCAGGTAGTTTTTGTATTCTGGTATCCCCTAATTTGTTGTAATGTGCGGTTAGACATGTACGGTTATAAATCATATATGTTAGGTCCGCCTAATTATAGTGGATTTAGTCCAGCTTCTTTTTAAGAGAGTACTAACGCTAGATATTATAAGAAGGTATAAATCCTTTGTCCTAACTGTATTAATAATGTGTAGTCGCTTAATACAAGCTTACTAAGGGTATTTATAATTATATATAAATATTAATTAAGAATATACTTTAATAAGCTTAAATTTATTTAAAAAATAACAATAATATATAACTTTAAAAAAGACTAAGAATCTAATAAAGCTAATATAAAAAATTTAAAAATAAATATAAAAGTACTTAAAAATTATGTAAAAGCGATAGCAAGAGTAAGCGAATAAATACTATTAGAAGATTAATTTTAAAGAAGAAGACAAAATCTAGTTATTAATAAAGAATATCAATACAATAAGATTTTATAAAAAGCTAGATTTAAAATAGATTAGACTATTCTCTATTATAAAGAGACTTAGATAGAGCTTTTATTTAGAACTATTCTTATTAATACAGATTTATAATATGTTTTACGTATTTCTATTAATTAAAGACTTTACTAACACTTTACTAGACTAGATATATTTATAGTCTTTGCTAGTAGAAATAAAAGGAGAAAAGGCGTAAGAAGTCAAAGATATAATTAGTATTAAATAAGTAGGTAAGATCTTGAAAGTGTAAATAAAATGAGTAGATTAGCTAGAGGATTTATTTTACTATTTTATTATAAACTTTAAGGCCTCTAAAGACTTACTTAAAAATTATTTTAAAAGGCACTTAATAAAAAAGACACCTAATTAATTATGTTAAAGCTAAGTATAAAGAACTTAAAAGATATATTACGTAATAAATTTAGCTATATATATATAGTTGAATTTTGAACTAATCTAAAAGAGAAGTTATTAGGCTTAATAAAGAAATTTAAAAAGAAGTAAACTTATTTTTTTGCGCTTTTAATTAAGGGTAATTGATTTTCTAAAGAAGAAGGTAGTGTGATAAATAGAGCATTTTCTCTGCTATAGCGTAGGAAATACACATAACTAGCCACGCACTCAGATAGCAGCGCCGATGGCGTATTTATAATAGCACGCGGAACTCGTGCTGTTACGCTATTATGTCACCGATAGAGGCATTTGTACAGCACGTCGCTCCCCGTGTAGGAACTATGGGACAGCAGATTGGTATACCCCCTTTGGGGACTTATAATCTCCGCAAGAGGGAAGCTACCACTTCTGGCCCTGCGGATGCTCTGTTGGATCCTCCGCGCAGATTAGCTAGTAGCACCTCCAGCGCTCGATAGAGGAGTATATAGATCAGAGCGCTGGCCGCGCTGTAGATAGACTCTTTAGCTTACGTTTTAGCAATCTATAGACTATTGACTTATTTCAGTTTCGAGCCATTGCAACTAATAAGGCACTTATAAATAAAGAGATAGTAATAACGTAGAACAGTATAGATTACTTAGTTAGAATATAGACTCATAGTGACTTCATAAGATAACTAATCCTTAGGCCCTTTTTTAAAGAGAATACAACTGTCATAATCTATAATAAAGAGACCGCCACGAAAGAGCGAGCTTAATATTGATAAGCCCTACACTGAATACTCCCTCTGCTGTTAATAGTCATAAATTCGCAAGGAAAAAAAAATAATGTTCCAGATTTGCTGAGAATTTCCCAGAATGTCTTGCACCACTAGAGTATTAAGTGATATACATCTCAATAAATATTAAAGGACTGCTTGTTCTCACTTTTGCCGCTTGTATTCTTCGCAAGCCTCGTACTAATAAAGAATCAGTATTAGATATAATTCCTCGATTATTATATTACAAACAGGGCGATCAAACTCACCGCTTCTTTCACCATCGTCCTAGCTTCAGGGCATACCTTCCTTCCACACCCAGGTATGGCTTTAGGGTTCGTGTTAAACAGGCGCCACGCATAGGCATTCATCGGACCCTTAGCCAGCCAAGTCCAAAGCTCCCGGTCCTTCCACCACAGCCGTATTCCACGTGTAGTGAGCACGTGGTCCAGATTCTGATACAGCCCAGTTCCAGCAGCTTCGTGGAGGAAGCGGTAGAACGAATGCGCGTGATGGACGTAGCCGCTACGAACGGACCGTTCCTTCTGCCATGCCGTCCGGAACCAAGCGTGGTAGACGTCGACTTGGGCGTTCATCTTACTCGCCGGCGGGAGAAGAGCTGGTGAGCGGTAGGTACTTGGCCGTTGTTGCATCTCATACAGCCCTTTGGAATTGGCGGTTTCCGCTACCCAGATCTGAGTAACGGCGATAGCTGCAAGTTCCGAGACACACCAGACGCTTTCTTGGGGGGCTAGCCAGCTGAGAAATGCTATAGACGAGGCATGACGGGGAGGGAATATCATTTGGAACAGGCGAGGAAGGCGCGGCTGTTGCCTCTGACCGGAGTCACTACTGTTCTCTGTATCGTCCATCGACCGTTGCCGAGTGCCATCCCCAGCCCTTTTCAACGGCATTCCACACGCTCCGTCAATCTCTAGCTCAGGCATAATGCTGAAGTCCATCTCGTACCCCGTACAAAATATTACGGCGTCAACTTCCACCAAGGCGTCATCCGCGAGTAGTACCTGGTTCTCGCCAGCGAAGTCCTTGAAACCATGTAATGGAGTAATATCTCCCATGCGTATGGCAGGTATATAATCCTCCTGCACAGCCGGATGGACATGAGCTATGCTCGCACACGGAAGAAGCCGCCACTCCTCTCTCATCTTCTTCTCCGTGCGCTTCAATCTTTTAGCACGAGACTCACCGGGCCACACTTGCTCCGATCGTGCCGCGTGGGCAATCATTCTTTTCCGCATAAATCGATCCGCAAGAGGCCATGTCAGCCAAGGGATGGTGCTATCGAGGAAGTACTTCAGACGTAGATCAGGCCAAGTAAATTGCGAGTCTAGGGGAACCCCATCGTCGCCATGGCGGGACAACATGATGCGACCTCGCCGGTAGGACTGGTAAACCTTGGATGCTGACTTAGCTAGCGTGACGGATAATTCGCAGGCTGTATTGCCGTTGCCTACGACAAGAATGCGCTTCTGCTTCAATAACGCTGAACTAGAAATGAAGAGGACTTAGTCACGCCTTCAAAGCGGCATTGCCGTATAACAGAAGGACTCACTCCCTATAAGCCTGTGCGTGAAGCACAATCCCCTTGAACTTGTCACGATTTTTCATGGGCGGGAAAGCCGGGATTCCCTCGCAGCCGTGAGCAAACACCACTTTGTCAAAGGTCAGGATACTGTGCCCATCAGAGTTGATGATGTGGACATCCCAGGTGCTGTTCGACGCGTTTCGAACTACCACTTCGACAGTCGTGTGAAAGCGCACGTGTTGGAGAAGGTTGAAGTGCCGAGCGTATGACTCCAAGTAATCAGCAGCTCGAGCGCTCGTGAAATATGCAGGAGAATCTAAAAAGTGTAAGAGGTGAAGTAGCATGTTTTTGAGAGTAAAGGCCTGATGAAAGCAAACGCACCGTTTGGAAACGGGAAATCACTGAAGCCAGACTGGATCGATCAGATACATGTAAATCTTGCCCTGGTCGATCGATGAAATATCTTCAACTTGGCCCACTTACAACAAATTTGCTGGTGTTGGAAACTGTCTCATCTAAAACAGTGGTGAAAGTCGTGTTACTACTATAGGACCAGACCCCGCCGACCTTGTCCCGCCTCTCAAAGGCAGTGGCGTTGAAACCCTCTTCGCGCAGAGTCTTCAGAGCTGTGAGTCCTGCCGGACCTATGAAGTGTTGTCCAGATCAGTCTTAGCATTTGATGCCTGGAAAATTTCATACCTAAGCCAATGATGGCAATGTTAGTATTCTCCATATTGCTGTAGACAAGGAGTGTTAGTTGCTAGAGTGGGGCAACGTTCCCGGAGATAAATTTCCCAACATTCTGTCAGCCATATTTCGGCTAAATTTCAACCCGAGGCTTGTTTGCTCTGTTTACCTCGGCTATTTGCTGTGGCTATTTGCTTCGATTCTCCATAAATCTTTCATCCCCTTCATTTGCACAGTTTTATACTACAATCAGAGGACATTGTGGTGTAGGCGCTACGATAGTAAAGCTGTCACAAAACACCTTGTTTACACAGATCCTTATCGCCCTTGTACGACGGTACTATTGCTACTATGCAGCTTACCGTCACTATCAAGCTCACTATTACTATTCTAAATGTTTCTACTAGGCTGCTACATGGGCCGGGCCAACCCGGTGGTTGGCCGGGCCGGGTTTAACTGGCTGGGCCGGGTTTAACTATCCTGAGCCCAACCCGAAACCCGCCAAGGGCCCGCCAAGACCTTTTTTGGTTTTTATACTAATAATCTGTATAATAATGAATAAAAAGCATTATTTAAGAGAAAATAATACTATATCTATTCCTAATTAGGCTCACTAAACCTTAATTTACCTATTAATGTGCCAAGAAATTGCCAAGAACCCGCGGGCTTTCGGGCCGGGCTCAGCCCGACCTCCCTAAAACCCGGCCTGAAGCTTGGCGCTCTTTGCAGTTCTCAGATTCCTGCTATGCTACACGCCCCTTTAATAGGGGATAGGACGCCCATTTCGCTCGTTTAGGGCAGCTACTCTATCTGGCATTATTGAGATAGCCCTATTAATCTTATCCAGATTTATTTTATCCCACTCCTCTTAGATAGCTTAACGCAGAACAGCTTCTTTAAAGATGACCCCCCTGGACTTTAAGCGCTGCTTTATTATCCTTTAAATAGTCTTAATTGGATTGAGATCTGGCATATTAGCAGGATTCATTTTCTATTAGATCCCTAGATAGGCCTTGAGTGCTTTAACCTTATTAAGACCCTTGCTCTTACTACTATAAGGCATATTATTATTCTTAATTAAAACGTAATTTTTATCCTAATTAGGAGTAATGATTTGCTTAAGAATTACTATATAATTAGCTTGAATAAGCCGTCTCTTTATGACAGAGCTAGTATAGAAGTGGAGCTGGCCTTTAAAATTCTATCTAATAATAACGTATATATAGACTAATTAATTTTGATGTTTAAGCTTAAATTAAGTCTTTAATAAAGTATTTTATACTTTAAACTCTAATTAATAATTAATTTAAGTCTATTATTATAAATAAGTAGTAAAATAAGATTTACTATATTATTAAAACTTCTTAAATTGCTTTCATTACTAATATTAATGTTTAAATCCCTATATAATTTAAGTATTAATATATATTTATAAAAGCATTTTTTTACACAGCTATATAGGTCTTTATACTAAAATCATTTATATTTCTTTAGATAATACGTTCAGAGCTATTAACTATACTAATAGTCTTTGCGACCTTAAAATGGCTAGAAGAAGCGAAGCCAAAATTGGCATCTTCTACTGCCTTAATTGCTTCGCATTTGTACAGAGCAAGTATTCGTTTTCGGCCTCGATTATGGACTTTCTCGCCGCGGCGCGCAGTTCCTTCTTTAAGGATTTGATAGCCAGTTCGACTGGCTATATTATGTATCTTAAATAGCTCTGTACGGGGTAATTTGCCAGCTGTGTGGCGTGCGTCAGCAAGAAGGCGCGCTCGGCGCGGCGTATCAAGTATCGATTTTTTCCTCCGTGGGGCTGCAGGGGAAGGAGGATCAATCGAACAAGACTTTCTGCAGACGTGGCGTCTATTTCCTCGTTCAGAATCCATTGTTCCCTAAATTTGAGTGAGTATTGGTAGAGAAATAGAGGAATGAAGAAGGGGGGGAGAGGAAGGGGATCTGAGAACTGCAAAGAATTTTGGCGCCAAGCTTCGGCCCAACCCGGCCTATGTAGCACCCTAGTTTCTACGAGTTCTATTTATTCAATAGCTTCCATTTCATTCTATTCTATATTTCTCAGTTTAATTTTACGAACTATAGTCTGTACAACCTTCAATCTATGCCAGCGAGGCGTCAGGCGGGGATTGATGGAAACGGAATGCCTACTCGATATTAGTCTCAATCACGTAATTAAACTAGTTCTGATCGAGCGATTTGGGGCAACTTATACTAACTTTGACGAGTAATACTAGGGTAGCGCTTAAACTACATAGGCCTCTGACCGTAGTAAGCTTTTTCTACGGTTTAATTCGCTCTTTTGCGGCCAGAGACGGCCTGGTACTGTACGGTGGTAATGGTGGCGACAGTTACCTTTGTGGATATAAATACGCTCTTTTTGCTCCGTAGATTTTGAATAAAAACAACTTGGCACTCCAAGTTGACACATTCTCTGAGAAATAGATGCAGAAAGCGAAGATTAGTGATGGATGATAGTGGTAGTCCTCTAAATACCGTACAAGAAACTAACAGCCACAACTCTCACAACGTCGACTACATACGTAGTTGTCTTCGCAAAGGCCCTCCTCGGTAACCCAATTTCAGAAGGTTGCATAAGTGGGAAATGGAAATACATATAACTCGTTAGGTTTTACTGCATATCCAACCAGCTTTCACCAATCAGGGTTTAAGCCATCACCGATCGTGATGTGATGCGTGTCGCTTGCCTAACGAACCACTCAGCTACGAAGCAGCCACCAAGTATTATTTGATTTCAGTCAAAGTTTTTTTACGGAGTATGTCCTGTCCAACCTGATAGAAAAGTACTATAGGATCAGTGGGGAAAGAAAGGCTCCAACATGTACAAGCACCGGCCCTTAGCGAATCAATATATCCGCATATGCGTGCTTAACCCTGGTCAGTTCGACGACGAAATTGCCATCACCCTCCGCGCCGAACAACTCGACTCACAAAGACCTCCGCCATACGAAGCCATATCGTACTACTGGGACTGAACTATCTCCATGAGTAAGGTGCGCGTTGTAGACGGCAGGGGCGCGGTTGGCGACGTCGAGTGCGCCGTGACGCATAACCTCGAAATCGCCCTGCGCTATCTCCGCTATGCTGCAAACCTGCACACAATCTGGGTCGACTCCATCTGCATCGACCATTCTAACAACAAAGAAAAGGGGCTCCAGATCAATTTGATGGGCGAGATTTACCGACTGGCCGCACGGGTCATCGTCTGGCTGGGGCCCGAAGAAAACAAGAGCGGTCGTGCCATAGACATGCTTGAGGATATGGGCTCGCAGGTCGACTTCCATCCAGGAGCTTTCAGCATCACGCCCTCTAGCCAGGCCCGCGACCGTCGCTGGGGCGATATGGCACTGGATCTACCGTATAACGAGGAGGATCTCACCTGCCTATACCACCTGCTTTGCCGGGCTTGGTTCGAAGGACTCTGGGTCCGGCAGGAGATTCTCCTTGCCAATTCCACTGCCATTGCTGTCTGCGGATTTCGAGATGTGTCCTGGTGTGGACCGGATGTCACGTGATATATAGCGCTGCAACAAACGCTACTGGATTCTGCGCGTCTTCGATGAATTTGCTGGTTATCAAACAGTGGCGTATTGTGCGACGTCTTGAATGCGTTTTATCACAGATTTGTTACGCGTTTCGCCTCGAATTAACATGTATTTTTAGTATTGACGTTTCGCGCTATTTCGCATGGATTGGCAGTTTGATATGGCAATTTGGTATGTATAAATAGGCTCTCCTTGCGCGGTCAATTAGAGAGAACAACTTGCTATTCAGATTCTATTCTCCTGATTAGTCAGCAACGTTCGACAGTTATGAGCCCGGTTGCCTCCTGAGACGTACAAGTTGTGACTCATTTGTGCCCTTTTTTTGTCTATATCTGATTACCTGTTTGAGATTCTTGATATCCGACATCAAGATGACTTCCTCCACCTCTTCCTTGACGAAAGTCAGCATTATCCTTTCTAAACCAGAGGATTGGGATGAATGGATGCTGATTATCTATACCATGGCCCGAAATGGAGATGTTAAGGACCTGATTGACCCTAACCTGGCAGCAGAACCTCCTTAACTGATTGAACCAAGGAGGCCAACTGCTCCAGACGTTAAGTCAGGCGCTGCTGCCATCACAGGGCTTGACCCTAGAGAGCAGAAGTTGTACAGCGTCCTTCAAGAGGATTATAAGTATGATATAATGAAATATAGAGATCGTCAGAGTGCTCTAAGTAGCATTCAGGACTTTATACTGACTCGAGTAGATTAACAGCATCTTCTCCTCCTTAAGGGCAAGGTATCTGTGTATCAGATGCTTACTGCTCTAAAGAAGAGGCTTGCTCTAACAGATAAGGCACATGAAATAGACGTTATTTAACGCTATAGAGATCTTTAGAGGGCGCTAAAGTATTAGCAGATTGACAAATGGCTCTTATAGTAAGAGAGAGTATATATAGAGGCTAAGCAGCTCTTTCTCCTAAACGTTTAGAAGGAGCGTCCCTTGTACGACTTCTTAAACGCCTTAAGGCCTGTGAATATAATATTTGTAGCTAATCAAGAAGCTATTATAAAGGAGCGAATTCATTATAAAAAGGATCTGCTAACAGTTCTAGATATACTAGAGAACTATCGAAACCATGTATAAATCTTAAAGGCCTTCTTAAATAAGGGCTCCTTTTATATAGTATTTGCTACGTTCTAAGAAAGCTTAGAGGATAAAGAAAAAAAGAAGCTGAAATGCCTCTATAAAGAAGAGCACTTGTTTAAGGAATACCTCTATCTTATAGAATCTCTCAGAGCGTCCTTATAGATTCTAGACACAGAAATCTAACAGAAGATTAATAAGAAGCTAGAGAAGATACTAAAGCTTAAAGCTATAGTAGAAAAAGCTTAGAAGTAAGCAAAAGAACAGAAGAAGAGTAATAAGAAAAAGGAGAAATTAACAGAAAAGCCTGTTATAACTATAAGTGCTTTTGCTATTAAATTCTTCTTATATAAGCTTAAGAACTATTAGACGCTTAATTCTAGTATTAATATACATGTTTATAATAGTTATATACGCTTTAAATTTAAGTATATAATTACTAAAAAAGATATGCTAATAGCTAACAAAACAACATATATTATTAAAGTATTTAAACGTATCAAAATAATTATTAAAACCCTGAACAGCTTAGCTTTTATTAAGCTTTTAAATATAGCATTAGTACCAGGTTTACTAACAAATCTAATATGCCTATAACGGTTTACAAAAAAGAGCGTCTACTAGGATACGCAGAATAAGCGTCTTTATTAAAATAGATAGACTTTCTGCTATACTTAGTCTATAGACAACTACTAGGTCCTTAAATATAGACCTCCTAAGCCTTTAGACGATTCTAGAGCTATATTTGCTTTAAATAAGCCTTCTAAAGCCCTAAAGGCCCTTATAGAGGTGACAGCAACTAAATAACACAAGATTCTTACTTATATAAGGCCAGAATCTATCGCTCATCTTGAGCAGAGCGTGGAAGGAGCAAAAGTTATAAGAAGAGCTCCTTCTACTACTAATTATACGACCTATTTGCTAACAAAGGCGCATGAGTTAGTATTAAGGCGTACGGATTAAGAGGAGCCTACTATAAAGCCTCTCTCTTAAATAGGGTACAACCTAATAGCTATAACGCCTATATATAATAAGGATAAATAGGTAAGTCATTTCTTCTGCTTTATAACAAATATAGACTTTGTTTATACTTATTCAAAAAAGAATTATGCTGTAAAGATTATTAAGGAGTTTCTTAAGATGACTAAAATAAGATATAGTGCTATTGTGCACTTTATATAAACTGACAAAGAGCATACGCTCAGAAAAGCTTATGCTAAGGTTATAAAGAAGTACAAAATTACTATAGAATATTCTGCTCTTTATACCGCTGTATAGAATAGTAATATAAAGAGAGCTAGAGGGGTACTGATTTTGTGTGCTTACGCTTTATAAATAAGAGCAAAATTGCTAGATAAGCTGTGGCTAAAAGCGTTTAAAACAGTAGGCTATCTTAATAATCGTACGCTAAAGAGAGGCCTTAGGTAGAAGACGCCTTTAGAAGCTATTTTAAAGAAGCGTCTACAGCTATCTTATCTTTATCTGTATAGCTATAAAGCCTATCCTGTTTAAAAGAATATCTTATACTTTTATAAGCTTAAACTAAGGGCTTTAATAAGGTACTTAGTAAGGTATAATTCTATAAATATCTATTAGATATAAATATTAAGCTAAGGCAGAGTTATATAAATAAGAGACATTATATTTAATAAATGCCTGTTTTATAATTCAAAAGAGCTAGATTCTAGCTATCTCTTAACTACAGAAATTAAGGATATTATTAAGGTTATTAAGATGCTAGAACCAAGTTATATAGCTTTAAGAACTCTAATAAATAATAATATTAATAATTCTGAGCCTCTTTAGCTTTCTGACGCTTTTAGAGATAAAGAAGAAGATACTATTAAAGTCACAAATAGTGTTAATAATACTAAGTAAGAGGAGGAGGAACTCTAATACTATCTAACGCCAGAAATAATGCCTAAACAAAATTTTAAAGAGCGTATAACTAAAACTAGTATATAAGTAACTAACTTGTAAGTGATTTACACAGGCAAAATTTCTACTGATTTTAACACACAAAATATTTTATCAAGTTGTATAAAAGGCACTAAACGCTAAAAGGCCTATGCTATAACGCTAACACATTTATCTGATTTTTCTGTATACTATTCTGCCTTTTCTGTCAGCTTAAGTAGATCTAAGAGGCAACTCTATTATAACTCTCTGTCACCTGAACCTCGCTTATAAAAGTAGATAACAAAGCATTAATTTGCTAACAAATTTAGAAACGCTATAGAGAAGAAGATTAGCAAACTAGCAAAGAAAAGGATATATAAGATTGTTCTAAAGGATATACAGAAGGAGATACTGCCCTTAACCTAGATATTTAAGTACAAATTTAATACTAATAATTATCTAGAGAAGTTTAAAGCACGCTTATGCGTACAAGAAGATCTCTAGACGACTAAGCAGGATATATATGCTGCTATACTTACTACAAGAACTCTTAAAGCTCTTATAGTAATAACTATTATATTTAATCTAAATATAATATAATATAACACTATTAATACCTTTACTAATAGCTTTCTTAAAGACGAAATCTATTATTACTGCCCTAAGAGTTTTACAAGAGTTAAATATGTTTAAAAGCTATAAAGGGCGTTATATAGCTTAAAGCAGTCATTACTTTTATAGTATAAGCATCTTATAAAAGCTTTAAAGAAATTAGGACTTTATTTAGTACCTAAAGTTAATTATCTTTATATAAATAAATATCTTATTCTCTTCTTTTATATTAATAATATTATTCTGCTATATATAAAGTAAAATTCTAATAAGCGCAAGGCTTTTAAGGCTGCCTTACTTAAATAGTTTAAAATAAAGTCTCTTAAAGAGCTGAAATAGTTCTTTAATATATAAATTCTATAGGATAAAGATAAACAGCAAATTTAGCTATATTAGGACTCTTATATCTATAAAATAGCTACTAAATTTAACCTAGCTGACTTAAAAGAAGCTCTAAAAACGCTACTCCTTATAAATAATAATAAAGACTCTAATCTATAGTATATACACACATTTTAGAATAGAATTAGCTCCTTAAACTTTGCTGTAGTTATTACTTGACTAGATATAGTATTCCTAATGTTAAAGTTAGCATAGAATTTAAAGAACCTCTCTGTAACTTATATAGCTATTACTAATTATGTTATAGTCTATCTTTATACTATGCAAAACTACGCTATTAAATATAATAATAAAGCTATTACACAAATCTTTATAGCATTAAGTAACGTAATATATATAGATAACAAAAGTTAATATAATTTAGATAGCTATCTTTTTTAGTTATATAGCGGTGCTATTAACTAGCGTGCTATGAAACAGTATATAATTATAACTTCTAGCACTAAAGCAGAGCTATTAGCGCTTTTAAGGGCGGCTAAAGAGATAATTTAGTAGAGACGCTTCTTCATGTTAATTTGATTTGATACGCAGTAAGAGATAGTTGACGTTTTGAAACTCGATACGAAGCTGCGGCATATCGATATCCACCAGCACTGGCTGCGTCAAGAAGTTCAGGCCAAAAGAGTGCTCGTACGATGGCTACCAACTGCTGATATGCCTGCTGACGGAATGACGAAACAACTGACCAGGCAGAAGCAGGAGAGATTCGTCAAACAGCTGAATTTGGTAGACATCTCGGAGAAGCTATCCATAACCCCAATTAGGAAATCCAACGAACTTCAGGCTTAACAGGGTGCCTCTTGAACCTGAGGGGGGTATATAGACCGGATGTCACGTGATATATAGTGCTGCAACAAACGCTACTGGATTCTGCGCGTTTTTGATGAATTTGCTGATTATCAAACAGTGGCGTATGATGCGACGTCTTGAATGCGTTTTATCACAGATTTGTTACGCGTTTCGCCTCGAATTAACATGTATTTTTAGTATTGACGTTTCGCGCTATTTCGCATGGATTGGCAGTTTGATATGGCAATTTGGTATGTATAAATAGGCTCTCCTTGCGCGGTCAATTAGATAGAACAACTTGCTATTCAGATTCTATTCTCCTGATTAGTCAGCAACGTTCGACACCTGGCCAACGTTTCAGCGCGGACTGGCATGCATCTACACGAAAGGTCTCAATTATTTCCCTTTCGAAGACGAGCTGGCCGAACGACTCGACATGGTCCGGACGCTGCTCTTCGGCCCGCAAGGCGTGGCTCTGAGTTCGCTAAGACGTGACTTTGGAATGCTGCTGTGTGCGGATCCCAGAGATAGGGTGTATGCCATCCTGGCCATCCTGTGTCAATGATTTGAGGCCCTAGACGTCCAGACTAATTACGATCAGACAGTGGCTCAAGTGTATCAGGACTTTGTGACCAGGTATATACGACACTCTGGCGATATCAACTTTCTCACTGTCTGTCACCTGAAAGAGCTTCCATTGGAGACACCCAGCTGGGTTCCCGACTGGTCGAATCGCGTCAGAACGTGAGTGGAAACGCGCATTTGGTGAGCAAGCGCCATGTTCGCCTCGGGACACTTGGACTCCCTACTGCCTGTCCCTATTGACGGGAAGCTCGAGCTGGTGGGCGTGAAGCTGGGGACGATCCGAGGACTTCAACAAACACCTTTGGGAAAGCCAACCACAGACAGTGAAATGGCAGGCCTTGCGCACAGCATTCTATCAATGGAGTTGCTTAAGTTCGACTATGTCGCTGGTGGCACGGTCTTGGAAGCCTACGTCCGCACCATGTGCCTTGAGGCCTTCGCGGAGAACTTCTCCCCACCTCTTGAGCACATTCCTGGGCTAGATTCGAGCATCGTGGCAGTGGACCAGATCCTTTCTCCTAAAGCCGGCAACCAACACACCACAGACGGATTGTCTCGGTTCTTGTCAAGTATGTATATAACTCTAGGCGGAAGGTGTATCTACAAGACTGACTCGGGCTATATCGGCCTGGGTCCCGTGCAAATTCACGTCGGTGACATACTATGCGTTCTTCTCGGTTCTAATATGCCCCCGATCTTGCGGCACACGGACGGCCATATAAATCAGTACCACCTCGTCGGGATTTGCTACACATGTGGCGTAAGTAGCGGCGAGGCCTTCTTGGGACCGCTCCCTAAGCATATTAGAGTGGTTCAGAAAGGGGAAGGGCATGGGCCTAAGTCCAGCCAGCAGTGGCGCCGGACGTTTCTTGACGCTAGGACCGGCAACTCGTCAAAAATGGACCCTAGGTTGAGTTCTTGGCCTATTGATCAGGAGCACTATCGCAAAATGATAGATCAAAGGCACAAACATTTTTTACAGGTTAAGCCGGACATTCTAATAAAAAGAGGAATAAGTCTTCAATCATTTACTTTAGTATAAAAATGATAATAAATCAAGTATAATTTTTATAAAGATGCATTGTACAGTACTAGTTCAAAAGTATCCGACCAACCCCACTTTCACACCTCACCAACGTTTCTTATCTCCTTCATACAAATTACTATAGCAACTTCAAGACTTTATGGATTTTGTTGAAAATTGGCTCAAATTGTGTGCTAATATCTAAGGAACGAAGCTGGCCTATTTTCCTAAATTGGAAATTAGATCTTAATATCTGGTGTACTAACCTTTCGCTGCAATCACCGTATTGATATAGGTATCCATGCTCTTGATCAAAGTATGTATAGCTTCTTCATTAATTGCGTCTCAACCGTCGCGAATAGCTCAAAATAAGCGTTAATAGTCCTCCTCACATTTACCTATTTTATTAAGTTTAGGATAATGATCCTGAATCTACTGCTTAAGTTACGCCTAAAGGTGTTTAATTAGGTTTGAATCTGGACTATAGAATGGCTAATCCATTAATAGTATACCTTTATCTTCAAACTATTTCTTAATCTTTTTAGCTATATAAATAAAGGTGTTATCCTATATAAATGTCATCTCTAATTGCTATGTTCAAGGTAATTAGTTGTTAAGAATAGTAAGGTAAGAGTTAACAGTATATCCTTACTTCTCTGTATTAGAATTTTAGTCTATTATTATTATATTTAAATACTTATTATTCTAAATAGCCCTTTATATTATAATACTAATATTTTTGTCTTTTTTATAGAGATTAATTATATTCTTTTTATAATGTTATTATAGTATACAAAAGACTTAATTTTAATATAAATATTATTTTACTTTATTTATTTTATATCTAATTTTTTTGTTTTAAATACTAAGCTAGACGTTTAGTAACTAATTAAGAAATTAATAAAGGTCTCTTTTTACTGATCTAATTAGTAACGCCCTTATTTTTAAGTATTCAATAAAGGGTACTCTAAGAAATCTTTACTCTAACTTTAAGGGCTAATGCGTGATAAGTAATCTTTGAATTCATTTATATAATGTATAGAATATTGCATTTTTAAATGCGATTCAAGATAAGAGGTTGTCCTTTTTAAGGCAAGCTTGTGCTATTGAATAAATATTTAAACTTTCTTTTTCCTTTTTAGTATAATTCCTAAAATATATATATCTTTTATACTCTTTATAGTAAGAGTATAATTAATCTAAATATAAGAAGTATTTATAAGGTTCTTATTAAATATAATATTCTGATATTATAGTAAAAGGGTTTTTAACTTTAGCAGGTTCTGCCTTCTTGAAATTAAACTCTTTAACGTCTTTATTACTTTTGATTTCCTCTTAAGTTAAGCTTTGGATAATAGTTTCTTATTTGTATTCAAGTTTATTTAGTGTAATACTATCATAAAAGTCTTGCCTGTCTAACCCTTAATATATGTGGAATTCGCTTTATTATAGTTTAGATATTTCTTCTTTTTATAGAACTTAATTATAAATGCTTTTCTTTATTTCTTAGATATTATATTTAGGTTATATATAATATATCTGTGTTTTGCTATTACTTTATAATCTTAATTAAAGCATTTAATTTATATCTATAAATGTATTAATATTTAGATATAGTCTAATTTCTTAATTTCTAAGACCTTAATATAATTCTTTATAGCTTTAGGTCCTAGTTCTTTATTATTATTATTTGCCTTATACTCTAATTTATTATTATTATAGTTATATAAAAAGAGCATTAAGTAATTAATGTTTCTTTAGTTTTCTTAAGTATTACTTTATGCTGTCCTTATTACTTAAATATATCTTATAATTATTATTATAATAAGCGGTTTAAGATAATAGATTATATAATATTTCTAATATATTCCTTTTCAGTTATCTTTATAGTATTTCCTTAGGGTTACCCTTTTTATTTATAGATTTCTTGTCTGCCTAGTTTTTTCTTTAGAGTTTATAATCTTTCTCTAGAGTTCCCTTTGTAATGCTTAACTATTATTTTATATCTTTATAATCTCAGGCGTAATAATTAGCTTTCTCACATTATAGGCATAGGCCTTTTTTGTGTTATTCTATTACTAATTCTCTAGAGATTCTTTACTTGCTCTTCTTATCCTAATTCTTTTTAAGTAATTTTTGTTTCTTTCTTTTCTGAGTAGTATCTAAGTTTATAAGTATGTTTTATTCTATAAGATAATGTCTTTAGATTCTGTGTTTTAGGCGTTATATATTAGCTTAGTATTACATTAGAATAGTAATATAATTCTTTTTTCCTTTTTTAAGTTGTCTTTTATAGTTTTTAATTATCTATCTTAATTATTATTTTAATTAAGGGTAATAACTTGCTAAGTTAGTTAATTTTGGATAGGTCATTTTTTACAGAATCTTTTCGCCTTTTATAAAAGATAGCTAATAAGGCGGAGTCCTTCTAGTTTACCTTAGAGACAATCTAATAAAATCTAGAAGTATAGTCTACAGCAGATCTCTTTTGCCTTATTTATAGTAGGTCTCTTTTCGCTTTCTTGACTATGTCTATATTCTTATATACTTGTTTAATCACCCGCCTACTTTTTTTTAAAATAATAGTCTTTTGATTATTAGTTAAAATTAAATTATAATTATATAATAACCTTTATTCTTAATATAATAAAATACTTTTTAGAGTTAAAGTTATTTATATAAGCCAAGAAATCTTAATTTGAAATATTACAAAAACATAAAATATGCCTTAAATTACTCTTTTTAAGGCTAATAAAATTCTTGTAAAGTATTAGAGAACTAAAAAAACATATCTATAAGTTAAAAGTATATTTATTCTAAAGAATCTATATAATTTAATTAAATAACAAAAGACTATATAATAATAATTAAGTAAAAGATAAAAAAGAAGTATTATATAAACTAAATCATCAGACTTAATACGTTATAAAAACAATAATAAGATTAGTTATAATATATAAATTTGTTAAAAGGCTAAAAAAATGTCTAAAGAAAATAAATACATAAAAAATAATTAATTTTTTTATATTATAGCGGTGTATAATAATTATAAAGTTGTGATATAAAGAAAAGTGGGCGGGTCGCTTGTATAGGCGGGTTGCTTATGAACCACGTTATTATGTATTTAATTCTTAGTTCTTTATTACCTCTTTAAGTTTATCTTTAAGATAGGGTTTAAATTAATTATGTATAGTCCCTTAAAGAAAGATAACTATATATAAGACCTTGTTTTTATTAGTGTCTACTGCTTATACATAAAACAAGAAATTAATTTAGAGTTAAGTTAGGAACTTTTAAAGTCTCTTTCTATCTTTATAAAATAAGTCTAGTAATATAACTTTAAACTATATATTCCTTTTTTAGCCTTTAATAGTAGCGATATTTATTAGTCCTGAGGTGATTAATATAGTATAAGTCTTTAGGTAATATATATAGTATTTATTTAACTATACTTAGTGGGGGTGGGAGGGGGGGGGTAGGAGGGGGGGCCTGATTAGTTAAGACAAGTCTCAACTAAAAGCTAGGTCTAAGTAGATTAATTAGGTAAAACAGAAAGTGTAGTAAACAATACTATAATGTCTTTAACTTAGATATAAGTTAATAACATAAATTTAATCTAGAATAAGAAAAACTATCTGACTATCTGCAAAAGGAGTGCGCTTATATAGATAAGAGATTTGTATACTTAGTCCTGCTTAGTAGTGAGCAGAGATGAGCAACCTGCATATGCTTAGTGATGCTTAGTAGTAAGCAGAGGTGAGCAACCTTAAGTGTGCTCAGTCTTGGCTGTCTATAAGCAACCATCCGGGTAGCCTTGTCCTAGTGTCCAAGCCTAGTGCCTAGCTCTGGGCTGTATGGCTCGGGCAACCTTCCTATCCTGGGAGGCGCTGTAACACTATGCTCTTTTTCTGTGAACTTTACGTGCTAATTTTATGCTCTTTTTCTGCGTATTCTACGTGCTAATTCTGTGTATTTCTACGTGCCAATTCTATGCCCTCTTTCTGCGTATTTTTACATGCGAATTCTGCGTATTCTACATACTAATTCTACGCATCTTTATATACGAATTCTACACATTCTATTTGCTAATTTTACGCCCTCTTTTGCGCATTTCTATATGCTAACTCTACGCATTTTTACGTGCTAATTCTATACATTTCTATGTGTTAATTCTGCGTATTCTGTGTACGTATTATGATTTTGACAGGGTATAACTTAGCAATATTCTGCAGTCTTAGCGAGCTATTACTGGCTTTATTAAACTGAAGAAGACAAGAAGGGATACTTTATCTAATCAAAAGATTAATTCTTTACACTGCATTTTTAAGCTTATTATTATAATAACCAATTATATAAGCTTTGCGGTGCTCTTACACTAGATAAATAATACTTTATAAGTTTAAAACTATTATTAATTTAGTTTTATTACACCTTATAATTACATTTTAACTCTATTTATAATATCTTTGTATTACTTATATTCAATACAATAGATTTTATTTACTTTTTATTTTATCTTTAAACCTGACTCCTTCCTAAATCTCTAGTCTATAAAATTCTCTTATATATAGAACTTATATAGCTTCATTCTTATGATATTAAATTAATACAACCTCGTCTATTATGTTAGACCGCAAATAAATATAAGTAACCCTAACACAATAATAAAGTTAATATATTCCGAGATACTATATAAATAATAAGAGAATATGATTTAGTTCTTTAAATGTGCCTTCTGTAATAAGATCTCTCATAAAATTAGGAACTTAAAGGTGTTGAAGCTGATATTGGTCAATTATGAATTATTACTTAAGAAAAACGTTCGGACTGGGAGGCTGGGAGGGAGACAGAGAAAGATGGCATCAAATCGGAGGGAAAGGATGGATAGGATGAGAAGTTTTATTCAAGAGCTAGGTGTTTTGGGTATGGAAAAGAATGTTGGAGTGAGAGTGGTGGTGGAGTGGGTCAGGTCCAATGGCACGACTATTCCGCCATATCTTATTGGTGAGGATGTGCCAGAGATGAAAAGAGAATATGACTCTGGATTTGGAGGGGTTGCTAGGAAGTGTCCCCTTGGAGAGTAAAGGCAGAAGGCCATCACTTGTAAAGGCCTGAAATGAATGAGGCAGTTAAAGAACTGTCGAACGGCAAGGGCGCTGATTAGTTGGATTTTCTACGCGAAACCCTTGTGTTTCGCCTTGTTTTGATTGGTCAATTTCTGCTGCAATTTCGCGGCCAATTTCCTGTGCCGTAGAGCAAATTTGTACTTAATTCTGCGCCCAGCGCAGCTTTTGTGAGAACAGACAGCCGTTTCTTCATCCTCCGCACCCTGCGCGACAAGAACTTATCTTGCCTCTCGCATGGTCTGTCCCAGACTTTGGAGGGTGGTACCCTAATTTGGACACTATTCCAAGCGATAGCTTACTTGTATTTGCATCATACATTACATACCAAACGACACGGGACAACAGCATTAAAGTCAAGAGTCCAGAGCAGTCTGCCAGCGATACACGTCCCTTTCAGATCCACCCACCCTTTCATACTCGGCTCGCTAGGTCTACATTATTACGTTACTACGGTGCTACTACGGTTCTGCAGGCCTTGGTCCTCCACCTCCACCTCAACCCCATCTAGCTAGCCTCATGGCTTCACACGAAGCTCTAACTATTACTAGTATTGCTTGGTTCAGCCTGGATTGGGAGGAAGACAGAACATGGTGACTGGTAGCTGACTGACTCACTGGTAGGCAAGGCAGGGCAAGGCAAGGCACTTACAACCACAGAGGGGAAAAAAAGGTGCTAGGGTGTTTTGAGGAGGAACGGCTCCAGAAAGTTAGACCCTGGACATGGACATGGATTTATTGACGGGGACTGGATGACGGGCTCAGATTTATTCGAATCTTCTGCTTCAGCCTGACTTACGAAACGTGAGTCGTAAGTCAGGGCGAGACTAAAGACTTCCTCTGCATTGATGTCGCAGCCTACGGTCAAATGATCTTATCCCCTTTGTGCCTTTCAGTAACGTACACTCCTTAGCGAATCAGGTTTCGTTTTGGGAAATGTGAGGACCTTTGTGCTGCTCAACAACGTACGCTTCAGAAGGAACTGCTGATACTTTATGCCACTCAGTGTAATATACGTGAAAAATCATTTATATTTGTGTATCGTCCTATAATTGCAATGGGTGAATCGGAATGGATTTTCCAAATCAAATATTGATACCTTTATACCGCTTAGTAACGTATATGGCCTAACGAATGGATTTCCTATAGAAAATGTTGATATCTTTGTGCCACTTAATAGTGAACACTCCCTAAGAACTGATTTTTGCTCAAAAATTGTTGATGACTTTCTGTTACTCGGTAACGTATACCTTTTTAAGAAGTCCATTTCTCAAAAAATCAGTCACATTCATTCAACAGCGTATACTCCTTAAGAAACCCAACTTGTAGACCATCCCGCTGCTTCGGCGTACGGCGGCCGGCGAATTATCATGTCTCTGCGGTCATGTGCCTGCCGCCATCACATCCACCCTTCAGCACGCCGTAGCGTTGATGTCTGGTATCGGTGGTATCGGGGGTATCGGAAGTATCGGCGTTAGTTGAGGTTCGACAGGGTTTCATACTGCTGCTGCGTTCGGTTACATCATTGAAGACTAGCTGTAGGGCTTCAGACTTGTCGTCCTGTAAATTTACCATAGTCGACCACACTGCTTCGTCTGGTGCTCTAGCATCAGCTGTGTGGAGCTGCGAATTGGGCTCAGCCTGCACAGCTAATAACAACATCTGTCCTGCACTGTCTGCTACTTTGTTGGTACGAGCGCGTGCTGAACAACAAATCCAGACCAAATAAATCAACGTTGCAACAATGTGAAGCAGCAAGCCGGATATCGCGAGCCCAACCTCTGTGCCCTGTACGCGCCAACCAAACCCGTAACGCTCACGGATCATCGAAACTCTTCCAGTTTGATCTGAAGCATCTGCACAGTCAGCCAACAGAGTGGCCCCCAAAGGCACATTGCTGCGTGCAAGCGCGTCAGCAACGACCATACCGATAAGGGAGGAGGCGTAGTTAAGAAATTCTGAATTATTACTACTCCAGGCCGGCACCAGCGGGCCCGACCATGTGTAAGGCGGGTCGACCCAACCAGCGGGTAGCGCTGTAACTTGCATCATGCGAGTCATCCAAGAGAACGTATGATTGCCGTAGTACTGCTCATTATTTTCGGTCAGAAAACCAGTGTCATTTGCATAACGGCGACCGTAAGACTAATTTAAGGTCAGTAATGATCTCAAACTCCAATTCAACATTTCTTTTGAGGAGGAAAGTACGGCAGGTGCCAGACTGGGAAAAGAGCATGCTTACAGGATTAAGAGCTTCGAGATAGCTCGAGTTCATAATTATGTGACCTGGACGGGGAAAAGGTACGCTTTCAGACGACGGAGGCGACGAGGTTTTGTAGATTTTCAATAAGTTCGTTTCGTTATCATGCATGTTGTTATCCGCGGCAGTCACCCAGGCAGTAATAGGAACCCATGATGCTTCAACTGTGCAAGCTGCTAGCATAGGAATAAGTTCTGGGCTCGTGTACGCGAACAAAGCTCCAGCAGAAGGCGCACGAAGCTGGTGCGTTGTTTCAAAATTCAACCATTCGAAATGCCAGAAATAGGTAGAATTCTCAGTGAAAATAGTAGGCTTTACCACTCGCCTCCATTCGGCATCTGTTGCACTCCATTTGGAGCCATTAAGGAAATCGACCGGCAGAAGACCACCAAACGTATTATATGTAGATGATTCGCACGAGACTTCGACCACTGGTTTGCGTAACTTTTTTGGTCCAGCAAACGTGTACACATATCTGGAGGAAGACAAAAGTTGTCCCCGATCAGGACCAGCATGCGTGGGGTCATTTGCACCTGAGGGAGTAAGCACGGATGAGACGGTCTGCCCAGAATTGGAATCTGGCGTAGCCACAGCCAGGAATCGTTGTGGTGACAAACAGGTTAGGCTCCTCGTATTATCGTTTAGAGAAATGTTTCGCATCATATGGTTTGCATTATCCAAAATAATGTTGTATCCACCCGTTGGACATCTGCTGTTGTTGAAGTTCCCGCTTTCAAGGCACGATTGGCCGAAGTAGGCAATCTCTGGCTGATTCGTAAAAAAAGCATGTGGAGGCATTATAACACAAGAAGCTGCTGTACCGTGGATGTCATTTGGCTCATATTGTAGACTTTCATGCCACCAGCCAAGTTGGGGTATGATTAGGATTGCCGATAGAGGTCCTGCCAGGACAAGGAATGCAGCAGCAGATAGCATTAGAATCCCAAGCATGAGCTTCTGCAATCGCACTGCAACCGTGAGAGATGCCCAGAATTCCTTGCATAGAAAAGTCGTCAATGAGGCAATGTTGTAGCTGGCCATTAGCATGCCAAATGGAAGCCCTTGGCCATGGAGCATGACCTGCCTCGCTACCCCAAGAACCATGGTCGAGGTTGATACCGAAAGAATGATCTCATGGACTCGCGCAGCAAATTGAAATGCCTTAAGACCCGAGTTTATTTGGGCTGCTCCAACGTCCTTCCAAAAGACATCGCGGAAGCTCAAAATCATAACTCCTAAGGAGGTCCCAATAGCCAAGAGATGCACAAATAACTCAGGCGAGACCCATATCATGAGCTTCTGCAAAGCATGTCGGGTTGATGCAATTGCGGCAATGGATACCGCTCGAGAACTTCGCTGACGCCACGAACTATCCATAGTGACAGAATTTCTCTGGCTGTTGGCGCCGTTTCAGTCCGTCCAGTGTACATGAAATTGAGGGTATAGCAAGATCGTCAACTCATTATCTAATGCTTCAGTAAATGTATCAACTTATTCTGGAGATGTTGAGACTGTCTTCCGACCGATAGCAGCAGCAGTGTCCCGCGCTCAGCCTAATCTCTGAACTAACTTAGTAGACAGATGTCATGGCTCAGACATGCAGTGGGGCGCAGGCTGACTGAGCCATACAGTCAGGTCCTAATTAAAATCTTCGCCCCAACTCCGACAGTCAACCTGTTAATGCCTTCCAAAATATTGTACGCAGCGTGAATAGTAGTAGATATAAGTTGATTTGTACCGACTTGTTCTTTGTGTAGAGGGCCAGCCACGGACCCTACCGACCTACTTACAGTACTAACCCGTACACTACCACTTGGCGAAACACCCCACTTGGCGAGACAATTTCGCGCACCTACGCGCCCGGGCACCCTCAAATTTCGAACAGCTATTACTCCACCAATATAGCTCCAAATGGACTCGGATAATGAGTATTTGATTCAGAATACGTCAAATGACGTTGACCGAAGGCTTTTAGCTTAATTCGTAAAGCTGCGAGATATTATGATGTTCCAAATTCAGCTCTGGCCTATTAACGCGCAGGGTGACCCTTAGTGGCAGAAATTAGTTGTATCTTATAATAACTATTAAAACAAAAAGAAAAAGTGCTTATTTAATATTTCTAAGATTTATAAAGACAGTATTTTTACTTAAATTATACGTAAATTAGAGATAACCATTTCAAAATTAAAATAATAAAATAATTAAAGTTTCTAATTAATAAAAGTAAAGAAAGAAGAACATCAAAATTCAATATTACTTTAAAAGAGATATCACTTATAAAAGACTAATTATACTAGCTATAAATCTATAAATAGAATTATTTAAATCCTTATAAAATTCTCTATCTTCTGATAGTCTTAAAAGCAATTTATATAAAAGCCTAAATATTTAATTCTAGGAAATAGGATTTTAATTAGAGCATTTAATTATTTAAAATATAAATATTAGGCTAATTTGTTCCAGCATCTCCTAGTAAGGGAAGGTTGCCTGAGCCTCACAGCCCAGAGCTAGACATTAGGCTTGAACACTAGGACAAGACTACCTGGATAGTTGCTTATAGATAGCCAAGACTGAGCACACTTAAGGTTGCTTACCTCTGCTTACAACTGAGCAGGACTGAGCATACGAATCTCTTATTTATATAAGCGCACTTATTTCGCAGATAATTAGATAGTTCTTTTTACTCTGTAGTCAACTCATGTTATTAGCTTATACCTAAGTTAAAGACATCTTAGTATTATTTACTATACTTCCTGATCTTCTTAACCATCCCTTTAGACCTAGCTTCTAGTTGAGACTTGTCTTAACTAGTTAAGCTCTAACACTTTGACTATCACTCTTAAGAACACTGAGTACAGTTAAATAGATACTATACATGTCACTTACAGACTTATATTATATTGATCACGTCAGGACATAACAGTGCAACCACTATTTAAGATCAAGGAAGGAGTACATAGTTTAAAGTTGTACCGCCTAACTTATTCTATAAAGAACGAAAGAAGCTTTAAAAATTCCTAAGCTAGTTAAGAATTAACTTCTTATTTTATGTAAAGCTATAGACACTAGAGAAAACAAAGTCTTATATAAAGCTACTTATTTATAAGGAGCAGTACATAACTAGTTCGAATTATATCTTAAAGATAAGTTAGAAAATAATATTAATAACTAAGAGAAAGACACATAATACATCTTTTATAGCTTTACTAATTTTCTAATTAAGATTAAATAAGTATATGAAGACGTAGATACTATTAAAGAAGCTGAGCGAGACCTATCTAGGTTAAAGCAAATAGGATCCGCTATAGACTACGCTTTCAAATTTTACTAAGTTGCTTTATAAGCAGACTAGAGAGAATCCGTATTAGCAGCCGCTTTCTATAAGGGCCTAAGGGACTCTGTTAAAGATAAAATAGCTAGGATTAACTAACTAAGCAAGTTACTACCCTTAATTAATATAGCAATTAAGATAAATAATTAAAACTATATAAGATAACTTAAAAAAGAAAAAAAGAATTACATTTCTTATCTACTTTAATATTAAGTAAATATATATTGATCTGAACATAAAGTATAAGGATACTACTTAACTAGACGCTTTATACTTATAGACTTGAATATAATAAAATAGAGGCTCAGAACTAAGAGGAAAAACAAAGGAATCTCAGATGTATAGAAATCAAAAAGATTTGAGAAAAATTTATATTTATATTATAGGAAACCTGACTATAAAGCCAAGGAGTATAAGGCAAAAACTTAATAAGTAAATACTATAAAGGGGACTCTGAATAAGCCTAAAGATAGCAAAAAACTTCAATAAAAAAATTGGGCTAATAAGAAATCTATAAGAAAACAAAACCTAGAATAATAAGACACAAAAAAGATATAAAGAATTAAAATATTAGAAACCATAGGTATACCCTATAACTAGCTATTTTAGACTACTTATTATAATAATAACTACATAGTATATTTAAGTAACAAAGATAACGCTAATTAGTACTTAAGAAGCTAAGATAATATTAAATACTTAATACTCTTTTTATATATAATAATAGTAAACAAGAATATAAGACGGATAATAATAATAATAAACTAGGACTAAAAGTAATAAAAATATATATTAAGGTCTTAAAAGTTAAAAAACTAGATTATATCTAACTATTAATAAATCTATAAATATAAGTCGAATATTTCAATCCGGATTATAGACTAGTAACAAAATATAAATATATTATATATAATCTAGATATAATATTTAAAGAATAAGACAAAGTCTTTATAATTGAGTTTTAGGCAAAATCTGCTAAGATTAGGAAACTCTTCACTATAGTTTCAAAATATTATACTTAGTAAGAATCTTATAGATAATTTTTATGCTTAGAATTTGTCGCTTATTAAGAAGGCGTTTAGTACCGAAATACTCAAGGGCCTTGTGGTCTGTCACAATAAGGAACATGTCAAGACTAGTTAGTTCAGCTCGCTATTCTTTGAGGGCTAGGATGACTGCGAACATCTCTTTATCGTGGATCTCATAATGGCATTCTGCTCCTTTGAGTGTGGTAGAGAAGAAAGCGACAGGATGCCACTTTGAGTCGGAAGGATCGAGTTGTATTAATACGCCAGCTGCGGCTTCGTCGGAGCAGTCCGTTTCCACTCAGGTCTCACGTTCTGACTTGAAGTACGTGAGGACGGGAGGCGAGAGCAACTTACGCTGCAGCGTGCGGAAAGCGTCGAGCTGAGTCTCATTCAATTGAAACCTTGGCGTAGCGTCCTTTCTTGTCAGATTGCTGAGAGGCCTGGCGATGCGCCTATATCCCTCGATGAACATCTGGTAGAAGTTACAGAACCCAAGGAACGACTATATACCTCTTCTTGTCGTAGGAGGTTCCTAATTGCGAATGACCTTAGTCTTACTTGGGTCGACCTCCACTCCGTGGTCTATAATAACATATCCTAAGAATGTGGTACGAGTGACTTCGAACTCACATTTCTTGATATCTATATATAGACCTGCGGCGCGTAGCCTTATCACGACTTGACGAACGTGCTGTCGATGCTCCTTCTTGTCTTTCGAGAAGATTAGGATGTCGTCAATGTACGCTGTACAGAAGACGCTAAGGTAATCTATGAGGACGGAATTAATGTAACGCTGAAAGATAGCTGGACCGTTACAGAGGCTAAAAGGAAGAACAACTGGCTCAAATGCTCCGTAAGTCGTTCGGAATAACGCCCAGAGAATTAAGTCGGGGTCTATCCTGATACGATTAAAAGCGTGACGGATATCAAGCTTTGTGAAGATCATCGCGTAAGCTAACTGTGACAGAGTCTCTGAGATTAAAGATAAGGGATATCTATCTTTCTTCGTAAGTTCATTTAGACTTCTGTAGTCGATACAGAATCTAAGGTCCCCGTTCTTCTTCTTGACAAATAGAACGAGTAACGAGAAAGAGGAAGATGACAGGCGAATGAATCCCTTACGTAAGTTCTTTATCAGGTACTCTCTCATAGCTTCGAGCTCTCGAGTTGACATCTTGTACAGATGCGACGCCTTCATCTCTGGTTCCTTGTCAAAGCGCAGCTTGTGGTCGAACGGACGGTGCGGAGGCAGAGTATCTGCAGCTACTCTCGAGAAGGCGGCGGCTTGATCGCAGAGATACAGAGGAAGATGGCTGAGGATGGACTCAAGATCGTCAGAACGGGGTCTAAGGTCACCGAGAGCATCCTGTTCGTCGTCGTCAGCTACCTGAACTCGAGACTGACTTGGCACGGGGCAGGGCGGCCTCGTTTCTGCAGCTCATGGTCGATACCATCCAACGTAACTGTCCCCAATATCGCGCCGTCCTGTTTGCTACTGACACGAAAGGCTGCGGCGCCTACGAGATTTACAGAGACAGTTCTGTTGTCAGTGTCAGCCTCATCTAGATCAGAGTCAGGACTGAGGCTCTTGTCAGCTTCATCAGAGAGAGGCAACTCAAGCTCCGCTTTGCGACGTCGATAATGCTGACGCCGTTCTTGCACAGATTTCCGAAACCAAGTCCTAGCCTTGCCAGCATCATTAGAGCTGACTTCAGGGCTGCGATGTCGAATATCCTCCTCAAATAGCCTATCTCT